ACCCCAGATTGAGGAAGAGATTTTTTTTATATAAATATATATAACACAGCAAAATCCTTCGTCATTAACCATTCCATGTAAATTAATTTGATGGAATTTGCTGCAAAATAACTTGACACTTAGTAAATTGGTTCCTTTGAATACCTTTAAGCTGAGAATGAGATGTTTTGAGTTGGACTCCCTCACATGTCCATGTTTTAATTTAAATTTTATTGTAAGTGCATATTTGGCTTTTATGTGTGTGTCTTTGTACGTCTGTCATGATGTGATGTAATTTTGATGCCTATCTTGGCCAGGTCTCCCTTGCAAAAGAGATTTTTAATCTCAATGGGTATTACCTGGTTAAATAAAGGATAAATAAATAAAAATAAATAAAATAAATCGACAGGCTGCAACCATGTCCAGAATTCCTTGTTTTTTCTTCCACTTTTGTTAATATTTATGTTTCCCATTCTCTAGCTTTTTCTTCACCTTGATTATAAAATATTTTTATAATCATATTTTTTTTAATAAAGCATTTTAAATGCTATGATAATCACATTTAATAATTTGAATACAAATTAAGGCCTTAATTTAAAAAATAGTAATTTAATGACTTTCAGTGATTTCTAATGACCCGTTGAAACCATGCCTATATAATCATTCTATGACCCCTTTAAGAAAAACCCAAAGGTGTAAAAAAAATTTTATTTTAGTTATTTAACTTTGACACACAGGAATCCTACAGATTGTTTGCTAATCTAAAAGGTCATGGGCTGTTGTGCGAGGTGTTCATCGTGAATCATATTGGTAGAAGCAAACATTACAGGGAATTTGGGGAAAGGTGTAACAGGCCATCCGTACCTTTTGATGCAGCCTCCTCAGCTTCTTTATAAAGCCCCAGAAAAAACAAGGCACAGCCCAGATAGACCCAGACCTCTGCTGGACAATCCGGCCTCCGGGTCAGAGATTTATACTCCTGTCAGAACACAGCGCACAGTTAACACAAACCATATGAGACAAAAGGAGCAGTCAGTCATTTATTTTTAGCTTTTTAAAAGTAGTTATATTCAAACTTGTTTTCATCCTGTATTCCCAGATATAAAAAGAATGAAAAATGGCCAAAAATNATGATTATTTCAATGAACTGTTAATCAGTCTTAATTCATTAACTGTTTCAGGCCTACATTGGAACAATCAACGGTGGAGAATAAAACCACATTTATTCAGACTAGTTATTTTAAACAGGTGCAAACAAAAGGAACAGTTTGGTGACATCTAGTGGTCAAGCTGGAGATAGCATCCCTAGAGCGCTGTCTTAAAGGGGTCATAGAATGCAAAACCAAGTTTCCATTGTCATAGATGAATAATGATAGTTCAGTGGCTGAAGTGGACGTACAGAGAAGGTCAAACCACATCAACAACTCCTTTCTCTGCAAATCTCACGATTCTAAACTTCCACCATAAGGTGGGCGAATCCAAAGGAAGCCCCGAGTTGATCTAAACTTTGGGATGTTGCCTTATTTGGTTCTGGCCTGTACTTTTGTCACGCCCCGAAACTGACACACAGACCAGCCCAAGAACATGAATAGAGGTCGATGGAAGACACCAGTTTAGCTGTTCAGCCTACAGTTGGGTTTACTTCTACAACAATTACAAAGCAGGCAGTTTCTCTAGTTCCCCTTTCTTCTGCAAGGAGAAAGGGGAACATTTTCACAGTCTTCCCAAGGATCCGAAGACTCGACAGGCATGGATTATTTTTGTCTATCTGAAGATCCGTGCAAAGTTTGATGCTCAGCTGTTCATTTGCTCGAAGCATTTTACCAAAGACAGCTTTAAAAAAATCTTGGACAGTTCAAAGTTCAAAGCTGCAGGAATAATAAGCTGGCCAAAGCAGGAGGTACAGGCCACAGATGTTAAGACATGAAAGCACCTTGAGACTGTACGCCAGCCGTAGGAGGCTTAGGACTAATGAGCGTAAGAGACACTATCAAGGATGAAACATCCATAAGTACATCAAGGACAAGGCTCCAACAATTGACACCCTCACTGAATGTCTAAGACAATGGGGAGCAGTAGATGAGGTGCCAGAGACTCTGTCAGGGGAGGATAAGCCGCTACACGGGATGTACCACCGGAACATGATCGAAGTGGCAGATATCAGGAAATCCTACCAATGGCTAGACTGAAGGACAGCAGAGAGGCACTCATCATGCCTGCACAGCAGCAGGCCCTGAGCACCAGAGCAATAGAGGCCCAGATCTACCACACCAGACTAGACCCCAGGTGCAGACTGTGCTAAGAGACCCCTGAGACAATCCAGCACATAACTGCAGGGTGTAAGATGCTGGCAGGGAAAGCTAACATGGTGCGCCATAACCAAGGGGCTACAATAGTCTACAGGAACATCAGTGCAGAGTAACGGCTGGAAACCCCAAGGTTAAAGTGGGAAACAATCCAGAGATGGTAGAGAATGACCGAGCCAAGATCCTGCGGGACTTTCAGATACAGACGGACCGAATGGTGACGGCAAACCAACCGGACGTTGTGGTGGTGGACAAAAAGCAGAGGAAAGCCATTGTGGTTGCCATAGCGATACCAAGTGACTGCAACATCAGGAAAAAGGAACATGAGGAACTAGAGAAATAGCAGGGGCTCAGAGAAGAGTTGGAGAAAACCTGGAAGGTCAAGGCATCAGTGGAACCTGTGGTCATTGGGGCCCTCGGTGCAGGGGCCCCCAAACTGGAGGAGTTACAGCAGATCCCTGGAAATACATCAGAGATCTTCGTCCAGAAGAGTACAGCTCTAGGAACAGCAAAGATACTGGCAGAACCCTAAATCTCCCAGGGCTCTGGTAGAGGACCCCAGATTGAGGAAGAGATTTTTTTTATATAAATATATATAACACAGCAAAATCCTTCGTCATTAACCATTCCATGTAAATTAATTTGATGGAATTTGCTGCAAAATAACTTGACACTTAGTAAATTGGTTCCTTTGAATACCTTTAAGCTGAGAATGAGATGTTTTGAGTTGGACTCCCTCACATGTCCATGTTTTAATTTAAATTTTATTGTAAGTGCATATTTGGCTTTTATGTGTGTGTCTTTGTACGTCTGTCATGATGTGATGTAATTTTGAT